GGGAGGGTGGAAAAAGACAGAAATAAAGGCAGACAGGGACTGACATAGACAAAGAGAAATAACAGAAAGGCAGAAGAGAGAAACAGGGCCACGAAGGCAGAACAGATACAGAGACTAACAGACACAGAGAGGTAAAGACAGGGAGAGACAGAGAAAGATGGACATGGACGGAGGAAGACAGAAATTAGTGAGACATAGAGATCCAAAGGGAAACAAACAGAAAAGAGAGAAAACATGCGGAGAAATAGAGGCTCAAGGAAGAGATAGAAGCCTGATGAGAGATTGTGGGAACTAGCGAGAGAAACAGAAAGACGGTAGAAACAGGCAGAGAAATTTTGAGGAACAGAGACATAGGTAGCCATTCAGTGCGGAACGGATGCCCGCATAAAGATGCTCAGGGACCCCCTTGGGGCTGAGACTTCTGTGAGTGGCTGGAGTTGGTCGGCACAGATGGGGTGGGGAGGCAGGTGGGGTTCTAGCCTCACTCTCGGCCTCCCAGCTGGAGCGGAAGGTGAAGGACATCGTGCAGGAGACGATCCAAAACTACCGCGCCAACCCAGAGAAGTCCGCTGCGGAGGAGAGTTGGGACTACGTGCAGTTCCAGGTGTGTGAGGCCCCCACTCGCCCCGATGAGTAGCCCTCCCTCTAGCTTCTGGACTCTAATGTGGCTCTGCCCTCTACGTGGAGAAGACTCTGCCCTGAAGTAGCCCGTACCACAGCTCCCGGACCCTAACGTTACCCTAACTACCTACCCTACCTCCTGCCACGCCTGACGGGGCCCCGCCCTCAGATGATAACATAACTGGCCCCATTATGGTCGTTCCCCAGCTCCCAAGCCGACCCTGGAAAGGCTCCGCCCTCTGCCTCTAAAAGACCCGCCCTCAGCCCCAAAGCCCTAGCTCGACCCCACCCCCAGCCCCTAGTGACTCTGGGTACTTCGGGACTCGACCCACGTGAGACTCCATTTCCTGGTCACTTACGGGGCCCCGCCCTCCCATCCACCTGCCCCCTAACTTGAGGCTGAATTTCCACTGCCTACCCAATCTTCGGTCCACAACGTGACTCTGCAGCTTCCCCAGCCCCAGGTCGCCCCGTGATTCTTCTCTCCCAACCCCATGTTTCCCTAGTGACCCCAGCCCAGCCCATCGTCCTCCACCCTGCACCCACTATTCGACCCTCTACTTCCAACATGACCTCAAACCATCACCCAGTCCCGATTCCCCATATCATCGTGCATCCCTCTAGTCCCGGTCCCTCTGACCCTGTCCCTCTCCCAGCTGCGCTGCTGCGGCTGGAACTCTCCTCAGGACTGGTTCCGTGTCTCCAGCTTGAGCAGCAACAAGTCGGTGTACAGAGTGCCCTGTTCCTGCTATAACTCAACCGCGACCAACAACTCAACCGCGACCAACGACTCCTCGATCTTCGATATGAACTCCCTCTCCCAGTTCAGCCGGGGCGGACCACCGGCGCGGCCCCAACACGGTTTAGACCTTTGCGCCGTCCCTGCGAACAGCAACACCTACCGTGAGGTGAGAGGAGAGCGGCCTGCGGAGGGGGTAGGGCTGCGGCGAGGACCGTGGTCCCGGGAGGCGGGGCCGCAGCATAGGGGCGGGGCCTACAAGTAGGCTGGGGCTGCGGGAAAGAACGCGCAGCTAGAGGGGCGGAGCCCTGGAAGGGGCGGGTTCCTTGGAAAGGCGGGGCCTAAAATGGGAGGACCTAGAATGCTTATACCTAGGGAGGCACCTGTAGGCTTATTCAGCGCGCAGTGACTAGAGAACCCTGGTAACTAGGGAAGCGGAGCGTGAGGGCGAATCCCAGAAAAAGGCCTACATTTAACTTTTCCCTGCACTCCCAGGGTTGCGCGCGGAGCCTCCAGAAGTGGCTACATAACAACCTCATCTCTATAGTGGGCATTTGTCTGGGCGTCGGTCTACTCGAGGTAATCTGGTCCCACCCTCACTCGCGATTGGCTGTAAATCCTTAGACAGCCCCGCCCCAAATTAGCCGTCCTCCCTCTCTGGAAAAGGGGCTTGAATGTGAGGTCGGCCACTCCAGGCTTTTCTGCCGCTCCACCTGGGAGGAGACCTAGCCTCTTTGAGCTCCGATTGGTTGCACGCGGGGAGGTTGTGCGCCCTTCCTCGCGAGGTTCCCATTGGCCTCCTCGGCAAACCAGCCTCTTGCTATTGGCCGCAATATCCCTCCCCTTTCCCGGCAGGTGAGTGTGGTGGGGCTGAGCCTGCTATTGCCACAAAGAGCTCTCCGCCGGGAACCCCAGCCGCAGGTGCCGGGCGCCGACGGTTCGTGCCCTGGGCCCGGCCAGAGCGCTGATGGCGGCAGCGGGCGAGGTGGCGTGCTGATCAGCAGCGGGCGTAGCGGCAGTCTGTGGGGTGGCTGGGGCATGGCGGATGCTTGCCCCAGCTGGGGGGACAAGCCCCCGCAGGGCAAGCTGCCCAAGGCTCTGGGGCCCTGGCCGCTTTGGGATCAAGAGGAGGAACAGCCTGAGACCGGGAGCGGGGGTGCAGAGGTGGAGCCCAAGGTGGAATTAGAGGTGGAGGCAGAGAGGAAGACAGAATAAATGACCCTGGGCTTGCTCCGCATCTCACTACTTTCTAGACTCAAGACCTATGTTAGACGCAGCTGGGTTCCTTCTGCCCCACCCTTTTGGCGACCTGCTGCCCTTTTACCCTTAACTCCACCCTTCTCCACTTTTATCTTCCCCCAAACTCCCGTCTTGTACCCCATTTTCACAACCAGGCCCAGTTCTCCCACTAGCCCCACCCCACCCAGTTCTTGATGCCTCATTTTCTTTTCTGGCCCCATCCCCTGACTTTCCTCTCTTAGGACCCCGCCACCCCACCTCCCTCTCACTGCCACCCCCTCGACCTCTCTGATAGCATCTCCTTTCTCTATAGCTCAGCTTCATGATGCTGTCCATATTCCTGTGCAGAAACCTGGACCACGTCTACAACAGGCTCGCCCGGTACCGATA